TCATAGCTGCACATCCTTCTAGTTGCTGTATGTGGGACTCGGCCTCAGGATGGACGGAGAAGTGGTGCCTCGATGCACACCCGGGATCCGAACCCGGGCCACCAGCATCGCAGCGCGCGCACTTAACCACCAAGCCACAGGGCCGGCCCTCTTCATTTATTTTAAATTATTAGTAAACCAAGGTTAACGTCAGGCAAGAGGACACTCACATTTCTCTGCTAGTTAGATTTAAACTGGCGAATTTGAAGCACTCGACTTCTTAGCCAAGGAAGAAAGGGGGAAGAACAGATAAAAAAGACTAACCATGGGTTAAGGAAAAAACACTACAAGTCTGCTAAATACATTCTCTGAATGAATGCTCTTCCTCCCATCTCCTAAACAGTCAGTGAATCACTTCAGTACTCTAGAGAGTAAGCTGCCTTAGGACAGAAACCACAGTTTATCTTTACATAACAGCACAGAGGTAGTAGGTGATGATTAACGTTCTAACCCTAGTGGCCAATTTGTAGCTCTGGATTCACGCAGCTGGCAGTACTTACCTCCCATTGTCTCACAGAATGCAACATTTCATGGGAGAAATTTGACTAAGAACAGCAATGTCAACAACTATGTTCATAAGCAAGATCCAGGCCAGTGGCAGGACGGAATATTCAAGTACCTGACTATTATGCGGACAGAATATTCAAGTACCTGACTATTATGCAATCAAAACATTAAGGATGTTTTTGAAAGATGGAATGTTTCTACACCCGAGAAATAGTGTTTTTCTTCTCTTAACGTACCTGCTTCAGGTGCCCCTTCTGTAACTGCCTTAAGATCAAAGATATTAAGTCTCTTTCCCTTGAATATATTTTTCCTAAGACTGAAAAAGAAAAAATAATTTATTTTAATGAATATTTTTATATACAATCAACAAAAAAATTATGAGAAGAAACTTTTATATAAAATATTCAACGTAGAAATTAAAAATAATTCCTGAGACCCACACCAGACATTTTAACTAAATTGCCACGTCTTTAGGGCTGATAACTAAAAACAGGAACAAAAGCTCTTGAATTTTTGCATCATAATACAACTAAGCAGTTTAATTTCCAAAATACCTAACTGAAAAGACTAGCTTAATTTGCCATAATTTTTACTTGATCCATTTCATGTTAAGGTTTGGAAAACTCAATGTTGTGGAAAGCTATCAAAATATACTAAATTAGAAGTTGTAACAGTCAACATTTGTCTGCCCTTAAAGGGCAGAAAACACTGAATGTTTAACTACAAATTATAATTATAAAAGATTGCACAGATAAATCAAAACATTCCCACTTATAAAGCAATCGTTCTGTAATTTTAAAATAATGATTAACTTTCTTTACATAACTTTTTAATTAACTATTGAAATTAATGTCAGAGAGTTAACAGGTAACTTTTCCTTGTATAATTTTAATCAACTGCTTTATGTATCAACTCACGTTCCTATTGAACAAATTTACTGGCAGATTAAAAACCAGTTTAGAAACTGGAGGGTTAGTTTTTTAAATAATTTTGAATTCGTTTCTGGATCAAATTACTTTTTTCTACTAAATTAAAGTGACTGAAAAAATGCAAATACCATATTAAAATTAAAGTGATCTCAAATCACTTAAGTTGAGTGATAAGTGATACATTATCCTCTAGCAGGTCCCCAAGTGTTTGTAAACGAAGGCATTCATGCCCCAGAACCATCCTCAGTGCCTTGCATTCTTCTCCCCACCCAGGATTCCCTCACCTTCATGCAGGTAAACAGGATGATGGATTCAAGTAACTCACAGTAAGGAGGGAATGATTCAGTAAAGTACAGAATTTTAAGAGGAATGTACTAAAGAGGAAGGGAAGACAATAGACATTTGCTGTGCATCTACTATATATAGTTTACACATGTTTCTTTCCTATTCCTCAAGAAAGCCATTTAAGCTAGGCTTCACCTTCAGCACTTTATAGGTGGGGAAACCGACTGATGGGTCTGTGAACGTTGCCCCCGGCACAGAATTAGTCAGTGGCACAGCGCCAGGAGCCTGAGGCAGGCCAGGGTGACGCCCAAGCCAGTGCTCCGTGACTCACACCTCTCCGTCTCTGCCTGAGGGAATCGGTCCAGGGCATGTTTTTGGTGACCAGTCCAGGCCTGGACTGTCTTAGGCTGTCGCAGGTCAGAGCAGGATGAACAACTTGGTATCTCACTATTGCTTCCCCTTATTCTAGAGCCCTTCAGTCAGCTTTTTAACACAGTCATTACATGCGCATAAACCCCTTTCCTACTTTTTTAGCTTCTCCTTTGCTACTGATGGTGCTCAGGGCAAGCTGCCCCAGGAAGCACCACTCTGGTATGCGGATTATTTCGAGCTGAAGACAATAAGGACTCAGAGAGCTCAGGAAAAATATTTGAGTTTCCCCTCCCAAACTGCCTAAAGAATTTAAAACCAAAAAATCTGTTTTAGGAAGGGGTTATTATCATGACTGTTATAAAAGATAATTTAGGATAGAGATTACAATAGAAAAGGCACCAACAAGCCCATCTTATCGGGAGTTCTGTCTCTCTGGCCACATTCTTTGTATGGCCCTGCGAGGAGTTGTCAGACAATCATTTACAAGGGAAGTCTCCATTTGTAAAGACATCTCCCTCTCTGTATTGAGAAAAAAGGGGGGGTGAGCTCATTTCTAGTAACTTATCAATGTGGAAGATGAAGCCTTGGGGGCTGTATAATAAACCTCACTCTTGTTTACTGTGCTTTAGTGGTAATCTCCTGTAACTGACTCCCCCCACCCCCAAATCCTCCTTTGTCATTGGCTGAAAATGATATTTAAGACGAGAATTTCTGCTATTGTGTTGAGAAACGCAGTGTCCCTGCTTTCTCCCATGTATACATGTTATTAAACTTGGTATTATTTTCTCCTGCTAACCTGTCTTGTTGATTATTTGGCCAACCAGAAGAACCTTAAGGGAAAGGGCAGAGGGAGATTCTCCCTCTTTCCCCGACACTACCTTCTAATTTTTAATGACAGTTAATATCATTAAAAATCAAATTATGATACAGCATTCTGATGTAGTTGCATGGAATCATTTCAAAGAGGACTGAAGTTAAATATTCTCAAGAAATCATAAGTAAAACTCCAAGTACACATTCAACGTTATGCAGTAAAACGTCATAAGAGCACTTTAAATTAGTAATTCAAATAATCTTCCAAAGTCATTGTAACCTCTTGAACTTCCATGGTTAACTAGTGACCATCTTTTCCAATCCTCCTGTACAAATTAGTAATTTAATACCCAGAAGGAGCTAACTCCAGTTGCTAAGATTATACTTAAAACAAAATCCATGGAATACACAACACAATGAAAATACAACAATTGTGAGCACATCCTGCAAGATGGGTTAGTTTTTCTCAGACCATGCTAAATATCGGGTTCCCCGTCCCCAATTATCACTTCATAGGCTTGAAGGAGAGAAAGAACAGAAATTTTATGTAAATACAGACAACTTTCAATTATAAAACAACTACATAACACAATGCTTAGCATCTTTAAGAACTGCCAAATTCAAATTGCCACAAATAATCTACTACTTTCCGGTACTATAATGGATTTCTTTGTTTTTTTGATGGTGGGTTATTTCTCTATCGTCTAAGAAAGACGATTATATAAAGAGATATAAAGGGTATATGAATATACATTGTAAGGCACATGATCAGAATGAAAAATAATGCTTCTCACAAAATGTTCATTTGTTCAGAATTCAGTCAGCTCTGCTTACTGTAAACGAGGAGACCTTTATTCATTGTGGGTAAATGTGAGGCAGGGCCCATTTTGATTTATGGTATAGAAAAGTGTAGGACTGCTAAACCCAGAACATCCTTCCCTCTCTAGGAAGTGGTACACAGAGAGCAAGAAGACAGATATGAATGCATCCATAATGCTCAGATATCCATCAGCAATGAAGTAAACCTACAGTTAAACACACAAAACCAAACAGACTGCAAGGCTTCAATACCTTTTTCTAAGACCAATGGTCTTCTCCTGGCCAACATAACCGTCAGATCCTTCATCAAACTGAATCTGATGCACTGGTCTCGTACTAACTCTAGCTGTGGCAGATCTGGCGACTTTCATATCTGATATTATGTTACTGAAACTGCAATAAGAAAAAGGTCAAGCATATTACAAACTTGAGCTACAGAATAGTAATAAACTTTCTTAAACATGAGATTCACATCACTTAATTCGTACTTTACTTCTATGCACTAACACAACATAAAAAGTTATGTTTAAATAAAAGATTATATGTCACACAGTAACATTCACATTCCACAGACCCCTAAGATTTATGATTCCTTCTCTTTTAAAGATGTGCTTCAGAGATGTTCATTTAAAACATAAATTCAAAGTGTCACTTATGAAAAATCATCAAATATCCAGAGAAGTTGATATACAGTCAATATCTGTATACTTATCACGTAGGTTAAAAAACTAAATTAAAGTTGAAATTTAGCCACATTTTTTTGTTGCCTTGCATTTGTGCAAATACAAATAAAAAGAGTGATCTGACTGACAGCCCCATCATCTGTATTTTTCTTTTAACTTCCTGAGATAAGTCTGGTACACGTGCTCATTGAGAACGACTGATTTAGATCATGATCCAAAACAAAGGAGCGCCACCACTGACTACATTTCGGCAGCAGGTGATATAACTTGGCCTAAAGCGATGAGAGATGAGAAGATGGGTGGAAAGATTTCAGCTAAAACATAAGAATAAGGGAGAAAAGAGAAGGAAACAGGCCTGAAGATTATCAGACTGTGCATAAAACCAGCAAATTATTTAACTGAAAAAAATTAATCTCAGAGAAGCTTCTTATTCTGCTATTTATTTATTTATTTTTAATAACACTACTAAATTTATCATTTCTTTTTCAGGGACAAAAAATTGTGTAATTTCTCAAAAGAAAGTTTAACTATTCAATTGGTCTTTTAAGAACTGCAATCTTACTTAAGACATGAGTTTAAAAAAAATCATGGGGCTGGCCTGGTGGCACAGGCGGTTAAGTTCCATGCTCCGCTGCGGCAGCACGGGGTTCGCAGGTTCAGATCCTGGGCATGCACCGACGCACCGCTTGGCAAGCCATGCTGTGGCAGCATCCCATATAAAGTGGAGGAAGATGGGCACAGGCCAGTCTTCCTCAGCAGGGAAAAAAAAAAAAAAAAGAAAGAAAAAGAAAAAAGAGGAGGATTGGCGGATGTTAGCACAGGGCTGATCTTCCTTACCAAAAAAACCAAAAATCAAATTGCTAATATTCCACTTATGAGGCGTATTTTATATATAAATGAATATATTATGTATATTACTCACCAGTCACATAAAAAACAACCTATTTTGAGATACCAGCCTTACTGGAATAACTATTTGACTCACTAACCTAATTTTAGTTCTTTCTCCATCTTTCTGTGCCCTTGAGTCTTCCTCATGCTGTTGGAGCTGCCTGAGCAGCTCCGACTTGGTTGTCTGCTTGTCAAAAGGGAGAGAATCTGCAACAGTAGATGCAGCGGCCACCAACTCAGGACTCAGGGACTCGCTTCTGAAAAAGCAAAGGAAAAACAAATGAGAAAGAAAAAAAGAGGTATTACTTATTATGCCATTAGTTTAGTGGAAAGCAAAATGATTCTTTTCGGAGGAAATTTTTATCCTTTAAAAAAGTATCATGCAATTCAATTTCTGAAAAAATTAAGAATTCTTAAATATTAGCTATCGGTTTTATATAAACTTTGAAATGTTAAAGGTCAAAGTTAATGGAAACTTGCTGAAGCACAATACTAACTCAGAACAATATATTAAGGTGGAGAGGTGAGGGACCAGCCTTAAAAATTATAAATTGGTAGATTTATTTATTAGATGCCATTTTATTTCAAAAGCAATATATATTGCAAGCAAATATAAAAGTAACTAAACCTGTTCATAGAAGCTTTCTTCATAATAGCCTAAAACTGGAAACAACCCAAAGGTCTACAATCAGGAGAACAGATAGACAAATTGCGATATATGCACACAATGGAATAGTACTCAGCCCACACCACGCCACAACATGAATGAACCTGAATGAAAGAAGTTGTTTAAAAAGAGTATATACTGTATGATTCCATTTATATCAAGTTCTAGAACAAGCAAAACTAATTTAAGGTGTAAAAAATCAGAACAGTGGGTGCCTCAGGACAGAAGGCTGCTGACAGGGAGGATGAAAATGGGAAATGCTCTGCCTCTTGATAAGCATAGGGTTACATGGGCATACCCATTTGTTAAAATCCTACAGCTAAGATTTGTACACTTCAATGTATGTAAATTTTACCTAAAAAAAAAAAGAACCATAAATCATCATCATCAAGTAGGAGGTAAAAAGTGGGTAAAGGCATAAATGTTAAAGAATAGCAAAATGTTGATAATTATTGAAGCTGGGTGACAGGTATTCATTATATGATTTTGTTTACTTTGTTTATGTTTTAAATCTTCCATAAGAAAAATCTAAAAAAAAAGCCAAAAAACCCCAAAGCCTACTCTTTAGTAAATTAGGGTAAGTTAATAGAAAAACATGCCAGACATAAAAAGAAATTAGTTTTTTAATTCACTGAGAATTGCCATCTCAACGAGTAGGATCCAAATTAATGTTTTACTATACCTGCCTTTTTATATTATGATCTGTTGTCTAATATGCAAGGCAAAGTTCCCAAATCCCTGAAGTTGTCAGATAAAGATTTTAAGTACTTTACTTACTAAGATACAGGACATCTACAATCTGACTGGAATGGAAGAAAAATAGGAGAATGAAAAGAGTAAATATAACAATTAGTTAAAAAGAAATGTTCTACTTTCAAAACTATTACCTGTGAATAAGGCTTAAACCTTATCCCAATTTCTTTCATAACTACTTTTTGTTTCACAAACTACTTGTGAAGTTTACTTTCAAATTTTAATATATATACTTCATCAGAGTATGCAAAGAATATAGATGAGCATTCATTTTCTAGAACCATGCATTTTATGACAATGGTGCTCTTTATAGTCATAGCTTCTCGTTTTATAATTTGCGATGTTCTAATTAATAAAAATTGTGGAGGAGCCTCTGTCATTGAGATAATGTTTACATACAGGGATCTTTCTATACTGAGTTTAACAACCTGATGAGAACTTGTTAAAATATCTTTTAACAATCTAGTCTACCCTATCATCAGACTATTTCATGAATACATACTTGTTCACTTTATACCCTTCTGTACTTTCTGAATTTCTTTAAAATGAACTGCATGACATACACAATTTCAGAAAGGGAATCCTGATGAGGGGAAAAATACTATTGGGTGGAGACACAAAATGGTGTAACTTTCAGCAGGCAAATTGGTGACATATATCAAACGCCTAAAAAATATGCAAATCTCTTGACCTAGCAATTTCACTTTGAGGAATATTTGTCTAAAGAAAATAAACAGCTACGTGGAATTGGAGGGACACAGCACACTCCAAACTCAAGGCCTAAGCAGTTCCATCCCCTATGCCTGAAAAGTATCTGCATGTCTTTATCCCTAACTTTATTTCAGGCCTTTGCTCACATATTACGTTATCAGAGTTCTTCCCTGCTCACTTTTTAAAAAACAGCACCTCTCCAGCCCCATCGCTCTTATTTTTCATGTTTCGTCATCTCATATTCTGTGTTTGTGTGTGTGTGTGTGGTGTAAGTACATCCCCTCTCCCACCACCACCCCTCCACCATAATGTAGGGTGTAGAGACTTTGTTTTGTTCAATGTTCTATTTCCATCACTTTGGACAGTGCCTGACATATAATGGCAACCAAAAGTTGCTGAATGAATGAATGATGTTAATCACAGCATCGTTTTATACTAATGAAAAACTAGAAATGATCTAAATTTCAAGTAGGAGATTAATTAACTGAATAATAACTGAAGCTTTCTTACTGGATAATCAGAGCAGGTAGTTGTTTGGTTAAGAGAAAGTTAAAGTTGGAGCTAGAAATTTTGGTTACTTCTGCACCTACCAGGGGTCTTGTTCAGTTTCATGACACGTTCAGACTCACAAAACTACCAGACACACCTGGCCCATCTACTCAGAAAGACAAAGGACAGAACCATAGCAGGCTGGCAGGGCAGCCTCAGTGTCCCTCTTGGCAGGAGTCCTTATAGCACTTATGTTGGTGACACTTCACTCAGCCATCCAAGAGCCGTCACGGAGGTGTGGGAGCTTCCTGGCTTAGTGCCCCACGGGAACCAATATGTCCTGTCACACAAGGCGGCAGACAGAGTTTCCAGGGTCCCTACAAGTGACATGCAGTACGAGAGTAACTGCACTCAAGGAAGCCTTAAGTATGGTGTCCCCATAAGGTACCTTATAGTTCTCCTAATCCAGATGCAATCAATCAATCAGGGGTCAATTTTAGCGTGATAATGTTGCCAACAATACAGCTGAACCCTCAGTTATCAGGTTACCAGGTGTGGCAGATTATATTTTCAGAAAAGAGAGACAGCAATATTTCTGGTCCCACATGCTCTTCCAAAACCTTGCCACACCCCCACTGAAAGAGGAAATCCATTGCCCCTACTCTTATAACCAGGGTAGACTTTGTGACTGCCTCGACGAACAGAACGAGATAGAAGTGATGCATTGTGACTTGTGAGGCTGTCATATAAGGTGACATAGCTTTTGCCTGGATCTCTCTTGAGACGTCTGTCCATGGAAGCCAGCTATCAGGCTGCAAAGAACCACAGGCCACATGAAGAGGCCATGGGTAAGTGTTCTAGCCAAGAGCCACAAATAGTCTCAGGCAACAGCCAGCATCAACCACTGAAATGTACAAGAGCAAGCCTTCAATGATTCCAGAGACCAGCCTTGAACCTGCCCCTGCTAACTAAGAGTGGAGCAGACACAGCCATCACTGCCACACTCCGCCCAAACTGCAGACAGATGCTGGCACTGTTAAGCCACTAAGCTTTGGGATGGTTTGTTACGCAGCAATAGGGAACTGTAACAGATTTTCGTGCCTGGAAGGTGGGTGTTGCTATAATGAAAAAACAAAAGGTATGGGAGAGGTTTGGGTATTGGGCCGTGGGTGGAAACTGGAAAGAACTTGAGGAAGCTTAGTGAAAGCTTAGGGCCTCAAAGAGGCTGTTCCAGTTCCACAGCCCTCAAAGAAGCTGTGAGTGAGGGCTTTAGGGAAATGAAGGATACTGCAAGCTGGAGAAAAGTGGACCTTTGTTTAGCAACACTGTTGCTTATAGTGATGTGGAAAATGGGAAACAGACTCAATGAATTGGATGATCTACTAAGGAGACTTCCAGACGGTGTGTTGAAGGTGCCTCCTGACTTCTTAGTTGCTGATGATAAAATGTGACAGGTGAGAGATAAGAAAAAACGGTTCCATATAAAGGAGCCAGGACTGGCTGGGATCAAAAACAGAATTGTTTCTCATTCTTAACCCCTCCAGACAGCAAACAATGCTCAAATTTAGAAATGGCTTCTGACTGGAGATTAAATCCAGGGCAGTGTCAGGAAAACACTGTGTAAAGATGGGCACGACTGTAAAACCATTTGTTAAGATCTTGGATGGTGCCTCAGAGAGCCTTTCAAATAGACAACAGGATTTCTAAGAAACTTAAGGGTGTGGGCCAACAGCCTCTCACAGGAGCTCAGCGTAGACCAGGACATTGGTTCCCAAACTGTGCCCTAGGGCAGGCTGGAGCACACAGGGAAACACAGCCATATCTGTCACTGACCATGTGAACTACTAACTCAATGGAGTTCACAGTTTTAGCATTAGACTACTGCACTCCTTTCTATGACATCATATCTTTGTGAAAATGGTTTTCCGGCAGTCGCTGTGATAAAAAGCAAGTACCCTTCAAAAATCAATGTGGAACAGGTAATGAGAGGTGTGCAAGGCATCCAACCTGAGTCCAAGGCCAGGTCATAAAAACAATACAAACTCCTCCTGGCTCACTTTCTCTTGGGACACTCGCCCTTGGAACCCAGCCACCACGCAGTGAGGAAGCCCAGGCCACATAGAGGTGTTTCTGCTAACAGTCCCAGCAAACGTTTCAGCTAATAGCCAGCATCAACTGCCAGACCTAGGAGTGAGCAAACCTTCAGATGATTCCAGCCCCTGGACTTCCAAGTCTTCCAACTGAGGCCCCAGACATCACGGGGCAGAGATCAGCCTTCTCCACCAGGCTCTGTTCAAACTGCTGACCCACAGAGCCCATGAGCACAAAAAACGGTGGTTTTCTCCCTCCCTGCAGCCCTCTTCTCTCTCCTCCTGTCTTCTCCCTCACCCTCCCCTTTCTCTTGTTACCTCTCCTCCTTTGCCCCCTCCTCTCTCCCCTCTTCTCTCTCCTCCTGTCTTCTCCCTCACCCTCCCCTTCCTCCCTGCTCCCTCTCCTCACTCCCCCTTTTCCTTACTACTGTTTAGTATTTTGCCTCCTGCACTCCCCTTTTCCTACACTCTCACGTCCCCTCCCCTTCCCTCACCACCACTTTCGTTAGATCTTCATCCCTCTCCCTTCTCTAAAAAAAAAAAAAAAAAAGGATTAAAAAAATGGTTGTTTTATGCTGCTAAATTTTGGGGCAATTGTTATGCAGCCATGGTAACTATATCGATGGGAGATCAATATATATTACAAATAAAGAAACTAAAAGCAGGCTATGCATGGAGCAACGATGACAGCACATCATGAATCAAAGATGATGATTAACCCAAATCTGTGCATCTGGAATCCCTTAAAAGACAAGAAGGGAGGGCAAAAATCATTAAAATATATATTTTTAAAAACTCAAAACAAATGCACCTCATTTTCCAATTTTTTTTTTTTTTTTTGTGAGGAAGATCAGCCCTGAGCTAACATCTGCCAATCCTCCTCTTTTTTTGCTGAGGAGGACTGGTCTTGGGCTAAGATCCATGCCCATATTCCTCCACTTTATATGGGACGCCGCCACAGCATGGCCTGACAAACGGTGCGTCGGTGCGCGCCTGGGGTCCTCAAACCCCGGGCTGCTGCTGCCGCCACAGCAGAGCTAGAGCACTTAACCGCCTTCGCCACCGGCCGGCCCCCTCATTTACCAATCTTTTGATGTAGGACCAAAGCCTCTTCTTTGAACATAGAACCACTGAGAGAAGTTGTAAGATACATCTTTTATATATACACCACATCCATAGTACATCCTCCAATATTTCCAATTTTGGTTTCTTTAAAGTAGAAACATAGAGCAAGAACTTAAAAATGCTTACAAAGCAATCTGAGTGCAGAATTCTCCTAGATTTTTATGCTTGTCTCATTCATACCTAATTCGAAAGAATTTTCAAAATTACCTTTCCTGAATTTTTGCAAAGCATTCAACTCATTTTAACCATTTCTATAATACTTAATTAAATTGTATAATTATAATAAAAACCACGATGGGTCATAAACAGGTCTGGGAGCTAAAAAAATCTCACTCTTGATAAGTATTTATATATGTATGTGTGTATTATCTAATTCTATATATACTTATATAGAATTTTTTTGTTGTTTTATTTTGTTTCTAAAAAGGAGGAGGAGGTACCTACTATGGGCACATCACTGAATTAGCTTACCTTCTACCACCAATTATGTTTTCCAGGGGTAGTTGTGATACAATGTGATACAATGTAGAAACTAAGAAGGTCCATAAAAATGTTAAGTCACTCAGGGAAACAAATCTACACTATCTGTCTATTCTGCTAAGAGAGGTCAGAGATGGGCATCTTAAAGCTACATACCTTATTACTTGAATCGATGATGTCATCAATTTAAGACACATCATTTATGTATCACTAAAACAAAACACTACCACTTAAACTACAACACAATGCTAAAATATCACTGACTGCACTTAGAATCAGTGAAAGACAATACAGTTTTGGCAAGCACAAGTAAACACAGTATTTTGAGGAAACCACATAATCTGAGAGCACTGATAACTACTGGTCAAAGTAAGTCATATAAAATAGCTGTAATCGGGCTGGCCGGGTGGTGCAGCAGTTAAGTTCACTTGTTCTGCTTTGGTGGCCCAGAGTTTGCCGGTTCGGATCCTGGGCACAGACCTACGCACCGCTCATCAAGCCATGCTGAGGTGGCGTCCCACGTAGAGCAACTAGAGGGATGTGCAACTATGACATACAACCACCTACTGGAGCTTTGGGAAGAAAAGGGGAAAAAAAGGAGGAAGACTGGCAATAGATGTTAGCTCAGGGCCAATCTTTCTCAAAAAAAAAAAAAAAAAAGTTGTAATCAACATGTTAAAATTCTATCCTAGGTGGAATTTTTTTGTGTGTGTGTGAGGAAGATTAGCCCTGAGCTAACATCTGATGTCAATCCTCCTCTTTTTTACTGAGGAAGATTGGCCCTGGGCTAACATCCGTGGCTATCTTCCTCTACTTAATATGTGGGATGCCTGCCACAGCATGGCTTGATACGCAGTGTGTAGTTCCATGCTCAGGACCTGAACCTGCAAATCCCGGGCCGCTGAAGCAGAGGGCATGAACTTAACCACCATGCCATCAGGCTGGCCCCCTAGGTGGAATTTTTAAAATGGAAATTTCCAATAAACAAGTCCTTCAGAGACACAAAGCTACTTTCAAATTAGGACGTAAATGATTTGTTAATTTACACCTTAGAGAGGCAATTAATTGGCAGTTAATAACACTGATGAATATGTAAGACAATGTGTGAAATTCTCAGTCCGATCACTACTCTTTTCCTCTCTCTAGACTGTATACAGATGTCCCCTTCTTATTTAAGTACAGAACAATAACAGTATTTCTCAAGTAATTATTAGTTTCTGTGTTTACAAACTGATACTTACTCTTCATTAATTCAGTATCTCCCATGTACTCTAATTTTAAAAAGTTTTTCTAAAAGAAAAAGTTTACTGGAGTTTCAAAAATTACTTTCACAGAAGAACATTCAAATTGCAATTCAGTTTACCTCTCCTTTGGGGCACCTCCTGGAGCTCTCTGAGGCCTGCCAACTGTGGCCTCCAAACTTTTCAGTTGTCTTCTGCTGGGCGGCTTTGTTGTTTGTACATTTACTGTGCTTAATTCAACTTTCATGCCCTTAATAATTCGTAACAAGTCTTTTTTCATATTCTCCTTTACACCGTCTTGGCTCTCCGTCTCCTTGGAAATCTCCTGTGTTGGAATAGACTGCTCATCTTTCTTGCCATAAATCACACTGTTAGTGCCAAAATATCTTTGGATATTATTTTTTGTCCTAGAAAGATGCATTTAAGAAAAAAGAATGAAAAATACAATGCAAAATAAGAAAGCAAGGTCTCAGAACACTGTTTCTATGTGTTTTTAAAAATTTTCAATTCAAATCCTTCTCTTTTGTTTATTATTGTTAACAACCATAACGACAGCAACTTAACATTTATTGAACGTATACTAAGTGCCTAGTCTTGTGCAACATATTTTATGTACATTTTCTCATACCCACATCAACCCCATAAGGTAGGAATTATCTCCATTTTGCAGATAAGGGAAGTGGAAACCAGAAGTGAAGTAACTTACTCAAGGTCCTGTAGCTCCCAGCTCACTAAGGCCTAAGACACACTGGGGAGCCACAAACGGGTTACAGGTATGCTGAGATATCCATCACCCGGTCCTCAGGGTGGCTGGGTGAGGCCCGGGGCTGCTGTGTTCCCGTCTGCTGCTCCCTTCATTTACCTCGGGGTTTTGTACAAATATCTTTTCCTCTGTGTTCCACGACATAAAAAAAGGTTGCAAAACACTGACATGGCTAATAAATTTCCATTTATTATTCTCAAACCCCAAACTGACTGACTGCCAAGTCCTAGATCTTAACATGATATAACAATACCTCTTTAAAAAGCCATAATTAAACATTATGAAAATAAATTTCTATCAACCAAAAAAGGTTACTTTCTTTTTAAAAATAATTTATACATGTTATTCTAATCTGATAAACTCTCTCATTGAGCTACTTGCCATTTAAGCAATCACTATTTGTAAGCTAAGCTAAAATGGAACACAAAAAAGAATACCCAGTGGCTAGAGTTGCCATTCTGCTTGCTTCATTACACACATTAGTGAAAAACACCACCACAAATGATTACATCTATTTCAAACTCATGCAAAAGATTTTTCAATTCTAAGTAACCCAAATATCTTATTTTGTGGTGTTAAAAACTTTTTGACATTGACGAACTTTAAAAATTAATGAATGTGTTAGTTTTAGTAACAGGGTATAATGTATAAAAAGTCATTCATTAAATACAGTGAATATCTACTCCGCACTGGAGACTATACTAGCTATTGACAATATATTAGTAAAGAAGAATTTCATGGTCCCTATCTTTATGAAGCTAACATGCTAGAGCACTGTTCTCAAACTTGAACATATATAGGAATTACCTAGAGGACTTATTAAAACACAGATTCTTCGGTCCCACTAAGGAATTCTGATCCAGTAGCTTTGGGGAAGGACTCAGAGTTTGCATTTCTAACAAGTTCCCCAGTAATGCTGATGTTGCCCATCAGAGGACCACATTTGAGTAGCTATGTTATGTATGTCATTTGATCCTTACAATCCTATAGCACAGGTTTTATTATTCCCGTTTTACAGAAGAAGAAGCTGCTGCTCAAAGAGGTTAAATTAGGGGTTCTCAACCTTCAGAGGTCATAGGAATCACCTAGGAAGCTTACTTAAAACACAGATTCCTGAGATGCTGAATTGGTAAGTTTGGAACAGGGCCCAAGGATCTGCATTTAACCAAGACCTCAGGTGACTCTGATGCAACTGATCTCAAGAACCTGCATCAGACTCTGGGTTAAATACTACGTCAAGTTCTCAAAGCTAGCAAACGGTAATGCCAGGCTAGGGACCCTCTAATGAAAGAGAAAATGGCTATTTCCAAAAATCCTGAAACAAACTATTTGATCTGCTTACAAAAATGTCAGAGGCTAATACATCAGGCACTTAAAAATTAGAATGAAAAACCAAATGCATAACTAGTATCCTGATAATCAGTACACAAGACCCTCATTATAATATTCAATATACAACTTAAGGACAAGCTCTCACTATTATTTCACATGTCAAAGTTAAACTAATATTAAAAGTATTATAACAGAAAGGTGGCAATCAGGGGAACGAATCTCACGTATAACCCGTACTTCAATGTTTCCTTCCAAAACTGCTATAGTACCAGTGAAGGTAATTTATACTTACACCAGGAAAATCATGTCTGTATAGGAAGTAACTCCCTAACACTAAAATAATAAAACTGGAGCCCTAACCTCCCACCTGAGGTTGTTTCCACTGAAAGCAGCTCATCAGCACTTCAAATGCAACACATCCAAACCCACATTCAAGGGCTCCCCTCTCAGACTTGCTATTCGTCCTTCTGTATTGAATGGGCCTCTTACCATAAACAGGTATTTTTATATCCTAAAAATTACATTTTAAAAGCTTTCTCAAAGCTGCTCCTCATTCTTCTATTCACATTAATGGTCCCTAATCCTCCAAGGCAGCCAGCTGAAATCCTAGCTCTGTCTACCCCACCCTTATCTCATCATATGTCACATCCTGTCAATTCCACCCGTGCCATTTTTCTCCTCCATCCAGCTACTCCTTCCCGTCTCCAACGCGACTGACCCGCTTCATGACTGTGCTTAACGAAACTGGCCCCAAATCACTCTGCGCGGCATAGAGGCAGCAGAGTAAGTTTTCATAATCAAGAGAGTTCTCAGAGAATAAATACCAACACCAACTATGCCGCAACTCCTTCTCTTTCCTGGCTAACTCCAACCCTTGGTTCCCCTTCAGATTTTATCAGACTTCTTCTCCGGAAAGGATACTCTGAGCCTCTTCTACAACGGTTAGGTGTCCCCATTTGCTCACCCGGCAATTACTCATTGAATTAATAGAGCATTCTGCGCCCCTACACTACCTCAGCGATTACTCCACCACACCCGAATTGCCTGCTTGGTGGAACTATAGGACCCTGACGGCAGGACTGTGATACTAGGGGCCCAACACCAGGGCTGGCACACTGTCAGCGCTTTCGATAGTGAACTAAGGAATAAACGGAGGCGGGAACGAGACCATCGGTCTTGGAAGGCAACGACATAAACAAAACGAAACAACGTCGCTTCTGGAGCCTGGATAGAACGAGGGGGGGAAGTGGCACGAGGGACGAGGCGCGCCGCGTAGACGGAGCGCAGGAGAGCAGGCCCGGCGCGGAACCCGACTGTTTCCCACGCACACTGTGGCCTCGGGCCAGTCACCTTCTCTCTCCGGGATTTCCCTTTCCTCAAATTTAAAGCGAAAACTCCTAAGACCCCGCGGTTATAACACCGGCCCCAGGAAGCCGGAGGACGATTACTGACTGTCCAGGGCGACGGGGCTGCCCGAGGACCTGGGGGCCAGCCGCGCTGAAACGCGGTACCTGGGGGTTCCGCGCGAAGCACCGAGCAGCGCGGTCACAGCCGCCAAGGCCTCCATGCCTCCGGAGCACGACGGGAGGCGGGAAAACGGGCGAAGACGAAGGACCGCCGAGACCCTCGGAAACATTGCGGAGAGACCAACTCAACTGCGCGCACAACGGAACAGCGCGTCCTCTGCCAAGCCCGTCCCCCGCGCTCTCTTCCGTTCCCCAGCCTGGCGCGGTACGCTCCCTTCGCCTTCCGGTGGACAACACGGGCCGGTGACTGTGTTCCGGCCTCGCCCGTCGCCGGGGGTTGGGCCGGCCGCCTCCAGGCGACTCCCCCTCCCGGCGATTCTCGTCCCCGAGGCGGCGTCGGCGGCTGAGCTCCACGAGGGCGCGGAGGGTGAGGCGGGCCGGGCCGGGAGAGCTGAGAGCGGAGGGAGCGAGCCGCTGTGCGGCACCGGCAGGTGGGGCCCGTGAGGTGAGGCGGAGAGCTGAGCCCGCGGCGCGGCGTTTGGGGAGAGGAGCCGCAGCGGCCGTCGTCTCCTCAGAATGAGCCAAGGCCACCGGAAAGGTTAGAAGGGAAGTTTACTGTAGGACGTGCTGCCCGGCAAATGAGCATTTCTTCCCGGTGTCTATTCTCGATGCGGGGTCAGAGCATGAGACATACATGGTTCATTTTTCAAGAACGGCTGTAGAGATGGAAAGATGCGAGAGACACACGTGGCTTTCTCCGGCTCCTCGTGAAGGCGTGAGCAGCGGCCCAGAGGAGGCGAGGGGTCCCGCACTCGGCGGTGCCTGAGCATAAACCCGGGGAGAGGCCCGCTAAGAGGTCCCGGGGGAAGCTCCAGCTTGGAAGTCCACGCTGGCAGCTGAAGGCTGCCGTCGGCATGTTCCCCGCCCCTTCAGAAAAGAATCGGGAGTGGCGGCGGATTTTCTGTGATGCTGAAAACACAGCTCACATCGAGCAGATCTTGCTAAGATCCGCCAGCCTTGACAGAACGTTTGTGACAGTGCCAGACACAGGACACTCGGGGATGCCTTCCTCTTTCTTTTTCCGTGAAAAAACTTTTTTTTAAAGTCAGATATAACTTAAATACAGAAAAGTGCACGAATCATGAACATGTTGATGAAAACATGCTTAATGAATTATTACAGAGTTAATTTGCCCATGTGAACCACCACCCAGATCAAGATACAGAATATTACCAGCAGGGCATACTTATTTTGATATCATTTGATATCCAGTGGAAAATCCGTCCTCGAGTATAATAAACAGTCCACTGAAATCACATTTAATGGTTACTTTATTTTTTTCCAATTTCTTATAATATCCCTCAAATGGGTTTCTTTGGGAAAAAAAGAAAATGTTGACAAAGCAGACTGAAACTTCCATCTCAGATTCACAGTTTCTCTGGGGGAAGATCCTGCCCCAATTATCCTGATCCTAGTCAACTTGGAGGCGGTGCAGACCCTGTAAATCGCCTGCCTGCTGCGTGAGGGCCGATAGGCTGGGACCTATGAGCCGCCCGGCTGAGGGTCACAAGTGGGGATTGAAATTCAGCCTTGCTCTACTGTCTGGCCCCTTCAGCTATCACATTCTAAGAGGCCTTTTTCGACCAGCCTGGTTAAGAGGGTCTTTGACCCTGTCTGGCAGGGACTGCTGTTGTCCACTGATATCTGTTCTCTTCCTCTGGAGTTTTAGCTGAACACGTGGCCACAGCAGTGGAGACTACATTTCCCAGCCTCCCTTGCAGATAGGTGCGTCTGCATCTAGTCAACAGAATGTGAGCACAAGTGATGTGCCCTTAAAAACATGGGCACCCATTCCCCACAAACTT